CCCCCCCCCCCCCCCCCCCCCCCCCGAACACACACACACACCCCTCCCCTTTCGCACTCTTCTGAAACTTGCAGCCTGAGTGACTCATCCAGGCGTATCGGCTCAGCTCGCACATAATCTATGGCCACTGAGAAGCCAACACATACGACTACGGAGGGTCTCATATGCGTTGGACTGAAACAAACACAAACACATATGCTCTGTAACATCTTTAAGAATACAGGAAAACCAAATAAGCCCGTCCTGTGTAAAGAAAAGTCCAGATAAAGCCAGAATAGCCTTGTGTCCCTGACTTTTTTTTAAATGTATTTTTTATACAGTGATATTGTGCTATATATCTAAAAAAAGAATTATTCTCTTCCATTCACTTCAACAGTCATGATCCAATGAACAACAGAAGGCTACTCAGTGTTTGTTGTGGTACAAAATGTAATTGCAATGTCTGCTGACCAGAAATGTTGTTTAAAATATGTATGAGTCTAGGTTCTTGTAAAATGTCACAAACCTGTGCCCTGAGAGTGCTGGTATAAAAAATAATGGAAGTTGTTTCCCCATTAAAATAAATACAGGCTGGAGGCTATCGTTGTGTTCTGTTTCACAGTCCACTGCTGCCTACAAACTGTACTGGAACCGATCCAGAGCCCTGCTGGTCCTCACTTTAATCACCTCATCACGCACTTATACTCACTCCTCGGATAGGTGAGGGCAATTAACCGCAATTAAGTGCCCGGCAGGCTGAAGGGCAGACGCACTTCAGAGCACCAGGATTAAAAACACATTAAACACCGGCGTGTAAACTCCGTGCGGGCACACACACACACACACACACACACACACAGAAAGTGACCGATCTAACTTTACGGAGGGTTCTTCTTACCTGTTGCTGTGGCATTAGAGGGAGCGACTGGCTCCTGACGTGGCAGCGGAATCGAACCGTGGGTCTCCACCGAGCTTCAGGTCCGTTGAGCGTGGGTCTGTTTTGCTACCCTCTCCGGTTAGACTCGGTGCTGATGCGGCTCTGTCCCTCACGAGGCATGCGAGGCTAGAATCTGTGCGCGAGTTCATCCGGGCGCTGTCCAGGAGCTCGCGTGGTGCTGAAATGAAGACTGAAACGAGTCCTCGCGCTCTTGTTTTCTCTCTCCGGCCGCCCGGAGCGTAACGCAGTTTCCATAGCGACCTACCGTCATTCAGTCATGACTGGGGGGGTGTGTGTGTGTGTGTGTGTGTGTGTGTGTGGGGGTGTGTGTGTGTGTAAACACAGAAGGACAACAATTAGGCTATGGGGAAGTTGTGTGTTGTGGTGGTGGCGCGGGGAGCGTTAACAGGTGTATTATTCAAATGTGTGTAAATTTAGGAGTGAGGGAACTTTTAGCTAAAGCCTCAGCTAAAGAACTAAACCGGCCGAATGCACGCGCACCGTGTTGTTTTGGGTCGAAACGGACAAGTTTCACCTTAACGTTACAACATGGGCGGGCTGGGGTTGAGGCCAGGACCTCTATGTTGTGTTATGTAGCGAGCTCAAACGTCAACGTGCAGGCTACTGTTTTTGGGGAGCGTTTGTAAAAAAAAACACTTCTCATTCACTTCTTCACTCTGGCTCACGCACACATCCTTCTATCTGGCTCCGTGTCCACTCAGAGTATATATATATATATATATATATATATATATACACAGTATGACTCATCCATGCTGCTCCCTCCCCCTGACCCAGCCGTTAATCCCCCGCCCCAGCCCCCTTCGGCTAGCCGGTGCACGCACACACCGGAACCTTCTTCTCTCTGGACAACCGATTATCCCTTTTCCCCTCATGCTGCATTTTCTTGCCGTCTGTTTCATCTCTTCCACATCAACTAAACCCCCCCATATGTGTTCCCGTATGTGTTCCCGTCAGCCCGCAGGCCAGTCCAAACAATACTAAATCAAATACAGATGTTACAACCACGTTAATGCATCAAAAGTAAAGTAGAAAATAAACGTTGCATTAAAAGCGTCCAGGCACACAGCGAGTGGCTCGGTAGAAAAGGTCAATTTACTCCCTCACCGAGGAAAAAAAAAAGAAGCACAAATTGCGTCACTAGACGTGTACCACAACCTACCGATACCGGGTACAAACTATTTTTAGCCTGGATGGAACTTGTCTGCTTTGGACACGCGCGCCCGTCCACCGCTCAAACGGTCGTGACGTAGGAGGCGCGAGAACGCCATGCAAAATCGTGACCGTGTGACGACGGTGAAAGCAGACAGCGGCGAATGAATTCAAAGAGGAAGGCACATCAAGATGGTTCACGTCTCATGGTGTAGCCACATGTCTATGGGTCCAGCCATCGTTACAGCAAATCGACCCTGTGGTCTACGGACCACAAACCATATCACATATGGACGCATTTGTTTAATAGTGTATTATTTATGTATAATAAACCCATAGGCCAGGTATATTATACAAAACGGATACATATATGAAGGAATATTCGGGAATAGTTGCTGCGCATGCGTCATGTTGGAGACCCCCCCCCCCCAATATTCAATATTCAAACGTTTAATAAGCGGTACACAAATGTGTTTCTTCCCTGAATACATTACAAAAGCTCTCCCGAAGGAAAACATGCTCCAACAACTACGAGACAGTCGTTTTGTCTTCAAGACAAATGCGATAACGTTACTGCCGCTCTGCCCAACTGATTTTAAAGCGAATGCGGAAGTACGGAGAAGTGAAGCCTCTCGCCTCGCTACGGTGGCGAAGATACGATCGCTTGAAAAGACATCAAAACAAACTATTCTGGGTAATAATCTGTGCATAACCAGTCTGAGGGTTTGTCTCAGAGAGAGACCTGCATCATGTCGAAAATGGAGAGTATCCTTTCCTGCGTAGTATCAGATACATACCGTTAGATGTACGGTTGCCTAGCAGTAACGTTAGCTAGCCGAATGTAAAATGGCTTTGACAGCTAATCTTGTTATTCCATAGCGTGCAACATCTGCCCAGTCATTCACTGATGAAGGAAAACATTGGTGTGCTTGCTAGCTCGCCTAACTCATTTCATGACTCTTTGGTTACATATTGAGTTGTTTATAAAAACAGTTACTCTGGTCTGCACTGATTTGGGTTGAATTAGCTCAATGTCTTGAAGTGATTACCATTACTACAATAAACTACTCCTTGACCAGCCATACAGAACAACTGTTCAACCTCAAGTTTGCTGCCAAGGAGCTGCAACGCAACTCCAAGAAATGTGATAAAGATGAAAGGGCAGAAAAGGCCAAAGTTAAGCAGGTTGGTTTATTACATTGTGCATTTATCAGGGACCACGGATGCAGGGACAAGCTGGGCTAAAGTGCAGCTATACTATATTAAGTTAGTGTATGTTCTCCTACTTCCTTTGATTCTCAGGCTATCCAGAAGGGCAATATGGAGGCAGCCAAGATCCACGCAGAGAATGCCATCCGTCAGAAGCACCAGTCCATTAACTTCTTGAGGATGAATGCACGTGTGGACGCCGTGGCTTCTAGGGTCCAGACCGCTGTCACGATGAACCAGGTCAGGCTTGCAGGTCACTGGTTTGCGGAAGACTTGCCTTGCTTTGTGATGTTACGTAGCACAGCAGGTAAATGACAACGAGAGAAAAACACGCCCAGCCCGTTGTGAAGATGTAGAAACTGCATGGCTTTTACCTGATGTTACTTACTGGTGTTTCACTGGTCATGTAGATTTCAAAGTTTTGAGAACTACATCTCATTTCAGGAGGTGAAGAGCTGCAGAGTAAACCCATATCAGGGTACACAGCCCAAAGTTGTCAAAACAAGTCCCATACAAAGGAGACAGGAGGGAGGGAGAGGGAGCAAAATGAAGAGGCTCGCAGACATGTGAACAAAAAGCCGACAATTACATAATGTCATTAGATGTGCTTCAGACTTTAAGCTATTAGCTTCTTGCTCTTATGAGAGCCTCATTAAAAGACTCGAATTCAGATTCACTATATACGACAGGCATCATTTCATAGAATAGGATTTAATAGCGTCTATAGAAATGTGTGAGATGGTGTACAGCTGAAAAACACCTCTCTATGTAGTTGTAATACCGTTGCCTGTCTCATTAGACATGAACACAATAGCACTGATAATAAACCCCTCTACCATAATTTGATCAAGTATTGGCAAATTTGTTTTGAGAAGATTTGTCCTTATTCAGGGTTGTCTTTGAGCTATTAGAGATGCTATGAGGAGGAGAGGTAGTCATGATAAGGTGTCTTGGTTAAAAAAAGGTGAAAGTGACCCCTAGTGGAAATATACGGGTACAGCACTTCAAGCTTTGCTATGTCAACAGCTTCTCCCTGTCTGACTCCAAATACCCTGATCCTTTCTTTAATTTATTTTTTATCAAAACCTATTAGGACCAGTGAAAAATGAGACTTTTATTGATGTGGTTTTTTTTGCCCAGGTGTCTAAATCCATGTCTGGAGTGGTCAAGTCTATGGAGTCCACACTGAAAAGTATGAACTTGGAGAAGGTAAAAAGAGTTGACTCACATACGTGAGCGCAGACAGACAAAAACAAATTGAAACAAAATACGTTGGTTTGAGATCTCCTCTTTCTCCACAGATCTCTGCGTTAATAGACAAGTTTGAGAACCAGTTTGAAACTCTTGACGTGCAGACAGCTCAGATGGAGGACACGATGGGCAACACCACCACTCTGATGACGCCTCAGGTGATGAGCGCCGTCCTCTGGAATACACACACACACACACACACATACACACACACACACACACACACTCACACTCACGTGGCCGCTTGGTGTTAAGTCCCTGACTGAAACCTCTAAACACATATTGTTGTTTGCTTGTCCCTAGAATGAAGTGGACACGCTGTTGCATGAGATGGCTGACGAAGCGGGGTGAGTAGACCTCCAAACAGTCTGGAATCTGAAATGACAAGAGCTGTAATATTGATGGAGGAGAAACATAAATGCAGGGAATTAGAAAAAACAAAACTGTACCTACTTGTTAAAATAGACAACTTTAAAAAGAGACACTAAATGAATTGCTCTTTTTTAAGGTTGGATCTAAACCTGGAGCTTCCTGCAGGCCAGACTTCCTCCCTGGCTTCATCTGTGGCATCGACAGAGCAGGTAACACATCCACTCTAATTATTATACTATAGTTTAAAAAACAGAACAGAATTCACACATCATCCCTATCCGGACCGTGTGGCAGGAAGTGTTTGAGTTGTTCCTCAAGATGTTTAGACATGTTTCCCATATGACGAGTCACCACTGGAGTCCATTGTAATCAACATGATTCACGCTGACCACGTCCGCTGTTTGTGACGGACATAACTACACACTTCGCCTCTCGAGCCTACAAAAGGTGTTGAGTGACGCTCTGCCTTTTCTAGAGCGCCCCCCCCCCCCCCCCCCGCTCGGTGGCTCCCCCCCCTCCTTCCTCCTCTCCACCCCCCCCCCCCCCCCCACTGTTCTCACCTGTTTGGTTGTCGTCATCAACAGGACGAGCTCTCCCAGAGGCTGTCCAGGCTGCGAGGCCAGGTGTCGTAGTGATGTCGGAAAAAATAACAAGACCGCAGAGGAGGGAGGAGAGCGGGGAGCGACAGAGCGGAGAGTGAACAACAACAAACAAAAGGTGGCATGTGCCTGGAAGCTCCGCGTTCCAGGTTTGTTCTGTCGAGAGAAATAAAGGAAGCTGACTAACAGCAGGGGAAGGGGCCGAGAGGAAGAGGCGGGATGTTTGCAGCCCCGGCACTCGCTGCATCACACGCAGTCCTCCTTCCATAACAATGTTCATTTGCACACTCATATTTAACATTCATTCTGATAATGTATTAGCTCAGCATTAGGACACTATACTGTTCTGCCATGTTTCTTTATTTTTAAGGTGGCACACGTTGGATCTGAATGGGATTTATTTTTTTGTCTCGCAAATTGTTGAGGAAAAACAACACTTGTACTACTTAATCGCTAATACGCCATTCCAAAGTGGGTATACACTGTATATAAAATGTAAGGAGCAATATTTATTTATTTATTTACTGCCCGCTTCACTGATTCTCTGATTGCTCAGAGCATACTTGTGTTGTGACTGCTGTGTCCTACCTGACTGAGGATGTGTTGTTTGTTTGTGTTTTGGCTTAAGGCGCTGAAACTCAAACTTCTTTTTATTGTGCGGTGGGGATTATTGCTTTGGAGGAAGCTGGAATATGCTTGAGTTTTTCTGCATGTCGCAGTAAACGGCTCTAGCGGCTCACTTGTATGCAAAGACAGGGAGTCATTAAAAGAGTTTTCAACACGTTTTACTTGTCACGTTTTTTTTTTGTGTCAGTTTATAGCCGTGTTCTGGGCAAAGTATGCATCCCAGCATGCCTCTCTTTCCCTCCTTTTTCCATCTCACTGCCCCTCCTCTTTCTGTCCTCCAACAGGGAACAGATGAGAGGTCAAAGGTGTCACCTGTAGAGGAAGCGGCCCTCTGCCGCTCGCATGCCAGTGCCTCATTACACACACACACACACACAAACACACACACACGCACACACACTACACACACAGTTCAGCACATCCCAGGGGGGAAGGCAAGACTCAGCTGGGAGCCATTACAGGTGCTGTCCAAGCACAGACACACACACACACACACACAGACACACACAGACACATCTATACATGAACAGCCCCGTAGCTGACGGGAGTCCTCCGGAGTGACACTCAGCCACCTCTGACCCCTTTTTTGTGTCCTTCCTAATCATCATCAGCACGCACTTAACTACATTCACAATCATCATCAGCGCCCCCAGACTGACACAAGTCTCTATTACGCACATGCTTCTTCGCGTCCTCGGTCGTTTGGAGTTATCCGAAAAAACACTGACCCCAGGTGATCCAACGGCTGTTGGTCATCTCTGCCAGGAGTTGGATCACCTGAAATTAAAATTCCACGTCCCTCTGCCGTCAGAGCCACAAAATCTATTTGGTAAGTTTGGTTTCAAATCTATTTTTAACCCTTAAGTATGATTAAAGCCGGGAGAGTCGGTCGCGGACTATTTTTCTCTCCGCTGTGTGTGCAGAGATGCTTCCTCCAGATGTGCTGGAGTGAACGCTGCTCTTGGGGACGCCTGTGTTTGTATATATATATATATATATGTGTGTGTGTGTGTGTGTGTGTGTCAGGTGTGGATACCAAGTGGCTTTCCTCCAGTGCCGTCAACACCTCCTGGTCTGGGTTCCTAGAGGAGTGCTACTTGCTGACAGGCAGGGATCCGGTCGGCCGGTGGTCCCGTCCCTCTGTCTGCTTCTGCACGACGGGGGGAGAGCTGCTCACAGCCACACACATACACACACACACACACGCTGGCTCTGTGAAAAAGCTCTAATTGCAACAAGGGGGATTGGTCACGACGACTACATGATTCACACACAGGAAATGAAACGGTACGTACAGACAGTTAAGTCATCAGCTGGGATTCAGCAGCAGAAAATACATGTTAAGGCCAAGGTTTCTTTCTTGAGAAAAGAACAGAATATCTGTTTTACAGGTCAGTAATGTCCTGAAAGATTTCCAAGAGGTTTTCTAAAAATAAGTATGTGATGCTATATTTAAAATAGAGGCTGTTCACCAGGAACACTTATTCTCATTTATAGTGTCTGGCCGGACACGCAGAAATGTGAAATTTGTGTAAAAGGAAGCACACAATTAAACATGCAGTAAATAAAGAGTAAAGTTTCCTATAGTAAATGCATAATGAATGACAGTAGCGTTTTGAGCTGAAACAATACACTAATTAGTGGGCTGACAGAAAAGTCATTGGCAAACTGTTTTGATAATTGAGTCGTTTCAGAACATTTTTCAAGCAAAATCGAAAAATTCAATAAAACCATTTTCCATTCCCAGCTTCTCACATGAGAGGATCCGCTGATATTATTTCTCACATATGATTCTAAACTGAATGAAACAATAGATGTATTGAAAATGAAAATCATTTTCCCTGTAAGTTTTTACCAAATTACATAAACTTTGTTTACTTACCTCCAAAATACACCAGATGTCCTTATGTGTCAAAGATCTTGTTGCTGCATATTTACAGTATGTTATAGGTTCAAACTGTGTTCTTCTAAAAGAGAAACACACATTTATAGTAGCGTATATTTCAAAGGAATATTGTGTATGTTGCATTTTTTAAATTCTTTGTGGGATACCTTTTAAAGTGTTTTTATTGTCACAATTCAACCCGTTTTTTGTTACAGTGGTGAGTGTCGACAGTGAAGAGACTCGCCGTCTATTTTTAATAGAACCCTTTCACAGAATGTGGTCGCACAGGCTCTCTTCCTCCCCTTGTCTTCGCTCTCCTTCTCGGCCTCCCATTTGAGATATTCAATTACGATGCATGAAGGGGTCAGGTCAAACGCAGGAAGCCGAGCTGATTGGTTCTACTCGGATATCGAAGGGCATGTGTGACCAATCGCTGCCGCCCAGGGCTTTCCCCACTTTCCATCTGCTGCTGCAGCGTAGTGTGTGTGTGTGTGTGTGTCTAATCGTTCCAGCCCGAGGCGTTCCCCAGTTTCCACTCACCTCTTGACCATTGCTTCCTGTCAGATGTGTTAACTCTGCTTTTAATCAGTTTTACTGTCTCACTGCGTGCTCACATACACACACACGCGCCTACACAGCTGGCCCCATCCATCCCCGCTCTCCGCTTCATTAATATTTAACCAATCTCCTGCTCACACTCGCACAACCTCTGTCTCACACACACACACACACACACCTGATCCTGCCACCCCTCCACTTGACCCTCACCTCACCCCGTCACCCGCCCTGATATCTCTTACAGTCAAACAACCCGTGAACATGGACATGCAGCCATAGTCTCTTGCTTCTTATTGAGGCTGTCTGCCAAGTCTCTGTGTCGACACACAACGCAGCCCCCTTCATTATTACATTAGGGTTCATGCCCCTCACATAGGCATCAAATGAGAGTTTTCTTTTACTCTGTGTGCTTCAAAACAGTAAAAACATGTCGTGCCCTTTGGTCTTTCCTGGTTTGGCTCTCTGGAGTGCTCATAATAGCTAAACTAGCCACTCAGCTAAAATGAGTTGCCCCGACAGCTATTCCAGTGACCCCTTTAATATTTAATTTAGCGCCACTATCAGGTCAAATTTTTTAATTGTCCAGTTTACTAAACACCTCCAAAACCGATGGCATTCCCATCAGCCCCCGCTTACCTTTGCAGCTAACGAGCAAACGTTAGCATGCTAACACACCAAACTAAGGTGGTGAAAATACCTGACAAACAACAGAGTGCTAGCATTGTTAGCATGTTTCTGTGTGTTCTTTGTGATTATTGCGTGCTACTTCACAACGATGAAGTATTTCATGTACAATTCATCTTTAACATGTGATATCTTGTTTCATTTACCTTAAAACATTTTTTTAGCTGTATGTTACAATTCAAATAAGAAATAGTTCAGTCATTGGTGGTCTTAACGTAACCTACAAACGTTCACCCAGTTATTTCAGATGAACGTGCTGTACAGTGAGACTCACTTGGCTGTTTGTGTGAACGGATCCTGGGTTAGGCAGTGAAGTTGAAGGGGTTAATAAGGTGTCACTGTAGTTGTTGACAAGACGGCTGTCCTGATAATGAGAGAAACAGGGGAGAAGAGATCTATTAATAGGATAAATACCTGTGGTATTACATTATTATTATACCAGTGGTTGGAGTGATCTGTTAGGAGTGTGTGTGTGTGTGTGTGTGGTGCATATGGTAAAACACTCTGCGGGCCTGCTGTTAGTCACACTCCTGCGTCTCAAATTGAATTAGAGTTGACAGCGCACAGCGCCAGCCGCGTGTATGTGTGTGTACCGGGGGCACTAGCTGTTGGCAAGCTCTGTGTGTGTGTGTGTGTGTGTGTGTGTGTGTGTGTGTGTGTGTGTGTGTGTGTGTGAAACAGAAGAGAAAAAGGGCCTTCCCCCCTGAAATCAATTTAGCGAGTATAGGTCTGTAGTTGTGGGGGTGAGGTGGGGGGCACATCCTGTGGAGGGCAGCCCAGACAGACAGCACCATCTGGGGCAGCAGGCGGGTCGACCCTGGGTTGAGACATGAAAGAAGCGGGGCAGGGATAAGAGGAGAGGAGAATACAGGCCAGCGCTAAATCACTCTTTCTCCCTCCAGCCACCGTACCCTCACCCCAGCCCCTCGCCTGCCATCCGATACATCAGCCACGGAGCATCATTCTCGCTCAATCACCCTCCTTCCCCTTTTTTCCTTATTCTCCCCCCCTCTCTCTCTCTGTATCTGTCCCAGGAGTGATAACCTGTCATACACAGGAAGCAAAAAGAGGTAAGAACAATCCATCCCTCTGTCAGAGATAGGGGCAAAGAGAAAAAGAATATCTCACATCTCTTGTTCCAAAAGGGGTTGATTTATAGTTCCATATTTAATAAAAAACAATACCAGAAAGTGCCTCTCTCTCTCTCACACACACGCACACACACACACATACACGCACCTGTAGAAACCCCCTCAGGTCCATCAGACTGGAAGGAATTAGCACACACACACACACACACACACACACACACACACACACACACACACACACACACACTGTTACAGGGGGAGGGATGGGCTCTGTGTGATGGACAGCTAGGGTCAAAGTGTGCGTTGTGTTTGTTGGTCATAGGCTGAGTGCTGACAGCCCTCTTCCAGTCAGCCTGCACTCAAACACACAAACACACACACACACGCACACACGCACACACACGCACACACGGCTCCATTGATGACAAAACAATGGGCTGAAAAAGACGGGCTGAAGAAAGTTAATGGCATTAAGAGACCGTGGTACGATATGAACCATCATGTGACTATTTATGCAGCACTAAATGCTCAGGTTAGTATGGCAGTGATGGAAGAAGTAATCAGATCCTTTAATAAAGTAAAGGAGCAATACCACAATGTAAAATACTGCATTTCAAGCAAGAGTGTGTCAGTATTCTCAGCAAAATATACCCAACCCAACTAAATCTTTACTGTTCTAACTGTATCATTGGTATATTAGTATATATTATGACTAATAATGTATGTTGCTGGTTGAAGCGAAGCTAATTATAAAACTTTTATCGATACGTTTTTATTTATAACAATGCATCAGATTTGATGTGTCCATTATACGTTCTTAAGACCGCTTCTGCAAAGTAACAGGTAACTATAGTGTAGTAGTATTTAGCTGTAGTACTTTAATTATTTACTTCAGTGAAAGGAACAACACAATGTAGAAATACTCCACCAGGAGTAAAG